ACCATGCCATATTTTTTAAACTTGATGGCAAGAGTAAGTTCACGAAAGATGTCTTTCAAAAGCCTTTAAAAAAAAAGAACTCTGAATGTCCCAAAGGCAGAGATACCAAATGGACAGCGTTTTATTTTTTCACACACACACACACACACTACATATAGCATCTTTTCATCTGAAAGAGATGGCTTCATATTATAGGTCAAAGTTTTTTCTGGAAGCTCAACTGTTTTTAACAGCTACATTTTGAGCACCTTTGTTCTGAGCTAAAAGTTTTAGCAGGATGATTACTGTATCCTATGACATTAGGTTACCCAGTACTGATATTCTGGCAATCTATTAGCATTCTAAGATTTGCAGTACAATTACAGTGTCTATAAAATGTATGTGTGGATTTGTAAAATAATAACAGAACAAGATTTTTTGAGGAACGTAATTTTTAAGCATGTTGTCTCCTTGCTCCAAACAAATGACACTGTTATTAGATACACAGCACAGAAAATACCAGTACCAACAATTCACTGGTTTTTTTTTTCCTGCAATGATGCACTGTACATTCACTGCATTTCTTCAGATTTGGGGACTGTATTCAACCAAGCATGAAAGTGTTGCACAAAATATAAGTCTTTATGTGCAGAACAAACTGTTCAAGGATAAGAAGGCTTCCTTAAAAAAATACATTAAGTATGCTAAGTCATATTTTTTTAATGCACTAAAACATTGCCATGTCTGACATCAATAGAAGGTGATTTTTGCAAAGTCTCCTATATTGCCTTCTTGGCAACACAAATTTTGACCATATCACCTCTTAATGAATTCTTTATATCCTAATATAACTCTTTTTATTTATATCCACAGAAGGAATGCAAGGCATATAAACTGGCATATATTGTATGACTGCATACCTTGATGGACTTGATAATGGGCTTGATGGGCATTGTTGAAGTGGGGCAGGGGGGTTCATTCATCCGTTCCCTGACCCATTTTGTTTTCTTTTTTCTGAACCCCCCTCTTTTTCCCCTCTTACTTGTACTGATAACAATTTCTGAAGCAACATCTGCAGAGAATTGACAGATATATCTGGTGTCTTACAGAGGCATGTTTAATGTTCTTAGAAGTACTAAGAAGAAATAAATATGACTTCTGAACAACTCAGTCCCAATGAACTCAAGAAGATTCTCTCTATTTTTAAAAAAGGAAAA